GCCGATCTTCGCTATATATAAATATTATCGAAAATAATTATTATTGTTATTTGCTATTGTTAACATAAATATACACCCATCAATGAAAGTAAAACTTCGATTCGATGAAATTGAAACCCGTTTTTGCTATCCTAGATAAATAGGTAGATATTCCGCAATATGAACGTGACTGCATTTGTGTGTGTGCATGTATTTATGGGAAATTCGTACTCCAATCATTGTCAACATTTTCCCGCCCTGGTCTTGAGCCGTTTGCTTCCAATGGAAATTGTCATAAAATACTCATAATTGTCCATCGCCGAGTTAAATTCGGCAATTGTCGAATTGTTCGAGTCGGACGGGGTCGGTTCATGACGGAAGAAAGCGAAACGGGTCGCCCAGGGGCCCGTAGATATTGTTTGTAGGGCCTCGCAATGGTCTCAATTTGTCTGTCATAAATTGCTACATATGCATTATAAGTATATACGTACATACGTCTATTTACTCAGCTCATTTTGTCTAATTAGCGCTTAGCAAAGGGTGTCTTTAATACTTTTTCTTCTTCTATGGACCACTGTGTGTGCACATAGTAAAGTGCGATACGAAGGCGCTTTTAATGCTTGTGCTTAGTTGTATTTGCTGTTTATTAATTTTGAGGACGTCCAAAAAAAAAAACAGAAAACATCGCACGGCTTCATTTCAATGCCGAGGGGGACATCCCAGTCCCTTTTCATTGAAATCTCGGCCATAGATGGCGCTGTGGTGCGGCAGACAAATATATATTTAAATCAGCCCCAAAACAAACATATACGAGCCCCAACCACTATTAATTCGAACAGCATGTTTTTTTTGCAGTGCGCAATGTTTAACACACTATATTATCAATACTACTAAAGATAACACATACCAATGCATTTCGTCTCAAAGAGAATTTTATTCTCTTCACGACGAAAAAAAAAGTTTTGCTCTATTTCCAACAACAACAAAAATATGAGTAATTTATTCAAACGGTTTGCTTAAGAGATAAGAAAAAAGTGACCACTATTAATTCGAACGCGGCGTAAGCTTACCTTAATCTCAAGAAGAGCAAAACAAAAGCAACTAATGTAACGGAATCATTATCTAGTTATGATCTGCAAATAATGTCACAATACAGCATGCAAAAAAATTTTAGAATTGCTGCAGATCAGTAGAAGTTTAGCAACGATGGTTCGTGGTAAACCTATTTCTAAAGAAATCAGAGTATTGATTAGGGATTATTTTAAATCTGGAAAGACACTTACGGAGATAAGCAAGCAATTAAATTTGCCTAAGTCGTCTGTGCATGGGGTGATACAAATTTTCAAAAAAAATGGGAATATTGAAAATAACATTGCGAATAGAGGCCGAACATCAGCAATAACACCCCGCGACAAAAGACAACTGGCCAAAATTGTTAAGGCTGATCGTCGCCAATCTTTGAGAAATTTGGCTTCTAAGTGGTCGCAGACAATTGGCAAAACTGTCAAGCGAGAGTGGACGCGACAGCAATTAAAAAGTATTGGATATGGTTTTTATAAAGTATGTTTTGTTATTACCTGTGCATCGTACCCAATAACTTACTCGTAATCTTACTCGTAGGCCAAGGAAAAACCCTTGCTTACGCTTCGTCAAAAAAAGAAGCGTTTGCAATGGGCTCGGGAAAGGATGTCTTGGACTCAAAGGCAATGGGATACCATCATATTCAGCGATGAAGCTAAATTTGATGTTAGTGTCGGCGATACGAGAAAACGCGTCATCCGTAAGAGGTCAGAAACATACCATAAAGACTGCCTTAAAAGAACAACAAAGTTTCCTGCGAGCACTATGGTATGGGGATGTATGTCTGCCAAAGGATTAGGAAAACTTCATTTCATTGAAGGGACAGTTAATGCTGAAAAATATATTAATATTTTACAAGATAGTTTGTTGCCATCAATACCAAAACTATCAGATTGCGGTGAATTCACTTTTCAGCAGGACGGAGCATCATCGCACACAGCCAAGCGAACCAAAAATTGGCTGCAATATAATCAAATGGAGGTTTTAGATTGGCCATCAAATAGTCCAGATCTAAGCCCAATTGAAAATATTTGGTGGCTAATGAAAAACCAGCTTCGAAATGAGCCACAAAGGAATATTTCTGACTTGAAAATCAAGTTGCAAGAGATGTGGGACTCAATTTCTCAAGAGCATTGCAAAAATTTGTTAAGCTCAATGCCAAAACGAGTTAAATGCGTAATGCAGGCCAAGGGCGACGTTACACAATTCTAATATTAATTAAATTATTGTTTTAAGTATGATAGTAAATCACATTACGCCGCGTTCGAATTAATAGTGGTCACTTTTTTCTTATCTCTTAAGCAAACCGTTTGAATAAATTACTCATATTTTTGTTGTTGTTGGAAATAGAGCAAAACTTTTTTTTTCGTCGTGAAGAGAATAAAATTCTCTTTGAGACGAAATGCATTGGTATGTGTTATCTTTAGTAGTATTGATAATATAGTGTGTTAAACATTGCGCACTGCAAAAAAAACATGCTGTTCGAATTAATAGTGGTTGGGGCTCGTAGAAAAAACTTTGTTGTTTCTGTTGCACGCACTAGAAAGAGTGCATGCTAAAATGTGCTCGAGAGAGAAAGAGGTAGGAAAAGAGAGAGAGACAGAAAGAGAGATATACAGAGCGAATGTGAGCGAGGGAGAGCACGAACCGAAACGAAAAGAGCAAACAAAGGCTAACAGCACATGTACAGTATGTGTGTAGGCATGTGTATGTGCGTGTGTGTGTCTACATGCAGTGTATTTTTTTTGTATACTGCAATGCCTACGTTCGTTAATAAGCACTGCACTGCTGAGTAGCCAAGAATGATCGTTGATATTTTTTCTGTAGATATCCGAATAAAAAACCTAAAAATCAGAAGAAACGTTCAGCTCATAAGTTGGCGCCCAAACTCTCTTTAAGTCAGTCAAGTGAGCACACGTAAACGTGTACGTGTGCACATATACAAGGCAGTTGCGTATTCATATTCACACACACAGTGTGCGTGTGCATAACGCGCGCCGCGAAGAGAGCCACTGACAACAATAACCACCACCATTACACCATTGCACACATACGCTGTTCGGCTCTGATGCTACGACTGAGTTCACTGTATTGAATATGCGCATGCGCGAGGCTCTCTTGGGCACACGGACACAAGGCGCCGCGCTGTCAGGCACACGTATCGAATGCCTTTTGTTCACATCTTGACTCCGACTGACTCTTCCCACCGTCAACTGTCCGTCGTCAGCCGTCTGTCGGTAGTCGTTGGCTTTGTGAGAGTGAGAGTCGACACCATGACTCCCCACCGCTTGTGTTGTGCTGTTGCTGCCGCTGCTGCCTTTGCCTCTGCTGATTGTTGTCGTTTTCGCTGCTGTTGTCAGTGTAAATTTGTGCTTCGCTCTGCGCGGTTGAAGACGTGCGACGGCAACAGCATTACCGACTTGGGTATCCAAGTAGCAACTGCTACGTCGAGAACTTTGAGTTAAGACAAATTCGTTTTCGGATTGCACTCTGCTTGGAGTGATGCGGCCGTACGGTTGAAATATTTAATTTAGTAAACAATTTCAACAATAAAAATATACAACAAAAAAACATCGAATAATGTGCTAGTAGTATATCTGTTAACTGCTCGAGCGCCGAGTTTAATTGTTTGTTTTCATCGTAAAATCAAATTTTATGACCAGTAAAAAAACAACAGCAAATAAAAAAAATCAACCAAGCAACTTTTATACTCCCTCTCACGCACTGAAATTCTCTCGCGCCAATTGTGCCGGCCTATAAAAACAATAATAATATAATAACAATACCAGAAGTCAACAAACGAAACTATATCACATATTCGACAAGAACTACTGGTTACTAAGCCTCAACAGTGAAGTAAAGTGGCTAAACACATTTAAGAGGTGCAAAAAAAATATTGTGGCTTTCGAAAAAAAAGAAAAAACTGAAATTAGGCTAAATTAATAACCAATTGAAAAGCCCAATTTGAAAATATTTGTGCGAGTTCTGAACACTATAGTCACCCTGTGCTCGTTCTTCTCTTCGACTCGCTTCTGATCAAATAACTCGTCCCACCAGCGACAACTGTGGGTGGTTTTATGTAATTCGGGCTCTCTTCGCCCGTCCAGCAACGCTCTTCACTCTGCCACTCTCCCTCGAACGTTGCGACGTAGCTCATTCAGCTCAGCGTGCGTGCGTGTGTGCGTGTGCGTGTACGTGTGCGTGTACGTGTGCGTGTGCGTGTTCGTGAGTAAAACAACGTCTGCAACGACTTGAAACGTAAGAAAACTGTTTTCATTTGACTGTGGATCAATTCAAATCAAAGCGCAAATAACGTGGAAATATTGAATGGAATACAATCTACTTCAGCTGAGAGTATAAAATTCATAAAAGCAGCAACAACAAAGTTAACAGGAAAACAAATAAAGAAGAACCAATCAGGCCAGGGCCGCGTCCCGATTGGGGTATTCTGTGTGTTTAGAGTGATCCTTTCGTTTCCGCCGACTGACTGAACCGCATTCAAAATAACCGTAAATATTCCACCCCTCCCCCAAACCCCAACCATCCCGCTGGCGTGCGCTCTCTACGACCCCCACGATGTCTCGGCAGTCGGGTCGCACGCCACTGCCGGGGCTTGGTGGGGGCCGCATCACACACATCCACATCCTCATCCACATCCACACCCACATCCCTCCTCGACGACCGCCGTGCTCCAACACCACCAGCAGCAACAGCAACAGCAGCAGCAGCAACAGCAGCAGCAACAACAACAGCTGCAGCAACAGCAACAGCAGCAACAACAACAGTTACAACAGTCCGCGCAGCATTTGCAACAACTGCATCACCATCCGCACCATCATCACCACCTGCCTCAGACCCAGCCACTGCATCATCATCTGCAGCATACGGTTGTCTCGTCCGCCTCGGTTGCATTGTCCACGCCAACCTCTGTACTGCAGCAACAGCAACAGCAACAGCAGCAGCAGCAGCAACAAACGACGCCTACAACACATTCCACACCTACGCATGCTGTTATGTATGAGGATCCCCCACCTGTGCCAATTGTGCCCGTGCAGCAGCAGCAACAACAACAGCCGCCTCTTCAGCATCTGCCCCCGCCACAACAGCAACAACAACAGCAACAGCAACAGCTTACAACAACTCCTGTTGGTAGTGCTCTTAGTCCCGCCCAGACGCCTACTGGAACTGCACCACAGCAAAGTCAGCATCTCACATCACCTCATCATCAGCAACAACATCAACAGCAGCAACAGACGCCGAACAGCGTTTCAAGTGGCGCCACCTCAAGTCTCCAACAACAAAGCTCAGTTGTGGCATCTGGTCAAAGCCAAATTGTTGCGCCAACAACAGCGAGTGTCTCTCCCTCCAGTGTCAGTTCCCAACAAGCAGGTAAGCAGTCAACGCATTTTCCAATTGGAGTTGTCAATGCAACAGAGAGGCGCACAGCTGAAACCCCCAATTAGACTTGCAATTTCATGTGTCTAATAATTATTCTACAGTCTCCTGCTCGAAGAATCCGAAATCATTATTATATAATCTGTAAACAATATGTGATATTGTTAGCTATACTTAAATTGGAGACACTAAAAACTATAAAATTGACATTCGTTAAACTATATTTCAAATGCTTTGGGTTTCATCTGAATTGATAAAAAGTTGGCTTCTTTGTTTGTAGACTGTATGAAAAGGGAACTCGAATGCTCCATTGATTGTGGGGAAAAATTAATTTATTCACTGTGAAATGTTTACGGCATTTTCCAAACAAGAAATTTATTTATAAACTATTTCTTCGACCGACCCCGCCCGACCGACTTCTATAAGGTGCAGCCTTGCCACAATCGAATTTGCTTAATAAACTCTTGTATGCTGTTGAATATTTAATACCAATAAGATCATAATATATTATAAAAATAATTTAAAAATGTATAAAAAAATATTGAAACATTTTAAAACTATAATTTCAAATAAAAGTAAAATTACAACTTTATTTACAAACGTAACTTAAAACTATTAAAGTTACGGAATGTAAAGACTATCAGCTATATTAAGGCGAGTTGCGTTGTATTTGGCTGTGCATATGGCTAACAAAAATATATCTAAATATGCCAGTAGGAATACTTCATCATATTGTGGCCTTGTAATAAATTCCGGGTTTGCCTAAAATGTTGATTCATGCTCTCAAATATTTTTACCACGGGCACTATTTTATTTATTTAAATAAATATTTTTATTTTTATTTATTGCCAAGCTTATTTTTAAATATATATAGAAATGGGTTGAGTTTAGTTGATTTTGCATACAAATACAGTGCACAGCAAATAGTGTTTGCCATTGTAATAGTAATGCTATTATTTAGTAACTTTTAAACCTAATTAGATCAAATATTTCTTTACAAAATTCAACATTTATAAAAATTTTAAAAATGTCAAACACATAAAATGAAATGAGTTTCTTTATTCTCTACTATAACTAATAAAGTTATAGTATGTTAAAGCTGTTCTCAGAGCTTAAGTTGTAGTATGTTAAAGCTGTTCTCAGAGCTTAAGAGCTAGCTGTTTAAATATATATAAATATCTATACACACAAATATATATACATATATATATGTATGCATATATATAAGTATAGATGTGTATATATTTGTACGGCAAGTGCTTAAGAGCTTAATTAAGAACGAACAATGTTCGTTAAGTTGTTTTATATGACAGGTCATCAATAACGTGAATATATTTGTCTCTCTGTTGTATTTTTACAGACATGTCCATCTCATTAGCACCAATACATATACCCGCGATCAGGCCTGGCTTTGAGACGGACGCAACGACGCCTGTTAAGCGGCACGCGCATCCGTGGCCGTACGACAATGAGTTCAACCAGTACCATGCCTCGCCGTACTATCTCGATAGGGATCGCAAGCCTATGTTCTACGGTTACCCCGAGACCCAGTTTCAGGTGAGTGCTCGAGGCCAGCGACGTTTACAATGATTTCTCTCCGCCTCGAATCGCGCAACGCAGTCGTCTCGGTCGCCTCGGCCGTCTCGAGCGTCTCGTAAACAACTCAATGTCAACTTCACCTTTGCTTTTTCTACCTTTCCCCGGGATCTCTCTGACTGCAGCCTGCATATTGGCCCAACTATCGCGATCAGCCAACCTCCGCTGCAGCGGCGGCCTACATGAGCGCCACCGACGAGCGCCATGCTTCAGTTAGTGCGGCAGCAGCGGCGCGACAGTCTGTGGAAGGCACCTCGCAGTCCAGCTACGAGACACCCACCTACTCCTCACCAGGTGGGCTGCGCGCCTTCCCCGAGGCCTACTCGAGTACAGGTAAGTCTACTCGCTTTATCGCTGTTCGAATTGCTCTTTGCTTCGCTAGTTGCAAAAACTAAAATAAATTGTTAACTGAGAGACTCAAGTTTGCCGTTTAATTAGCGTATTGAAAAATATCTCTATAAATATATATGCTCATCTCGAGGTACCCTGCGAGTAGCCACTCCCAATGCGAATAGTAGAGTGCAGGCGACTTTAGGAAACACAACTAACATTGGAATCACTTAATAAATAATACACTAATTTAATATAAACATAGTGAAAAGCAAGATTATTATCTGAATATGAATTGCAAACATGAGAGATATGAAAATTAAAGTTTGACAAGAATATTCTCTTGATTTTACCGAAGGACTTGTTGTTGGGTACGCAAGAGTCAATCTTAATAATAATAATAATAATTAAATTTTAAAGAGTGCTTTATTACTTGTTTAGTATTAGGAATAAAGTGAAGCGCTAATGTATTTACGTATTTACTATGCATTCCCAGGCACTTCTGGCGGCCTTTCGGTTGGTGCTGTGGGTCCCTGTACGCCGACAAATGCAATGCATGAGTGGACCGGACAGGTGTCGGTGCGAAAAAAGCGCAAGCCTTACTCAAAGTTTCAGACACTGGAGCTGGAGAAGGAGTTTCTTTTCAATGCGTACGTTTCGAAACAGAAGCGTTGGGAGCTGGCGCGTAATTTGCAGTTGACGGAGCGTCAGGTATGTGGATATACGGATGATTAAAAGCAAATCAATTATAATTGGTTCCCATGGTTCTGTGTGCTCAGGTGAAAATTTGGTTTCAAAACCGACGCATGAAGAACAAGAAGAACTCGCAGCGACAGGCAACGCAGCAGAATAACAACAACAACTCCAGCAGCAATCACAATCATGCTCAGGCAGCACAACAGCATCACAACAACCATCATCTTAACTTGGGCCTGAGCATGGGTCACCATGCCACGAAGATGCACCAGTGACCTTTGGACAACAGCAACGCTGGCGCCATGGGCTTTGCCACTTACTAGCATTTAGCCAATCCCAATCCGAGTCCCCAGCCACATTTTGAGCCCAATCTTAATTCGAGCTCAATTTCAAATCCAGTCAAGAACGAAATGATGCTCGACTTTACGTGCTAGTTAAAGACAAGACCCACAAACAGTACTTGTATGCCAAATACATCGACCTGCAAATTATGTTCGAGGTAGAAATGTGGCGGCTGATGAGGAGGGAGGCAGCTGAGAGCTTAGGAGCTGGCGTTGCTGTTTTATTCAAAGTTTAAGTCGTTGGCTTAGGCCAAGAAGAGTTTCAAATGTTCTTTAATGAAATACAGTTAATTAATAAGTCCGTTCTTGAGGTAACCATATATAAAAGCAAATGCGAAGTCAAAACGAAACAACAAATGTAAATCACCCAGTTTATTAACGCTTGGTGCGGTAGATGAATGCAGTTACAGGGTTAGCTGCATAAAACATCAATGTAAACATTATATAAAATGGGAGGAGGAAGAAGAGGAAGAAAAAGAATGATGCACACTCAATATTTCAATATTGTGCATTTCTCTCAATTCTATCTCTCTTCTCTCTCTCCCTCGCTATCTTTCTCTCGCTCTATCTCTCATAAATTAAAGCGCATCAATAATTAATTTTGAGCTATAAATATTATATGCATATACAAAGTAATACCCATATTAATTATGAATACAAATACAATTGAAGTAGTAGATTTTAATGTAAGCGCAGGTTAAATTCAAAAGTAGGTCCACAAAATGTTCTCCAAGCGAAACAAGCGAATTGTTTAACAATTTTTACAGGCAGCACAAAATATATTCACACATATGAAGTATGGTATATCTATTAAAATATATACATATATATTTAATCACACCCACACAATATACAATTCAGTTAAACAGAGCCGGACTTTTAGCATAAATTTTGTCATTATATTGTTCGTTGTGTCGTGTTTCTTAGGTAAATATTAAGTTCCTGTATATAAACTAAGACATAAAATCGCATTAAATGAAAGCACATTCAAACTAAAATGAAACCGTCTGAAAACAATTTGTGGTTCATCAGTAAAATGCTAAATTTCACTTAGTATATTATGAAAAAATTAGTAAAGCCCAAATAAGGAACAAAAAAATAAAACAAATTTATGAAAGTAGAAATTTCGAATACAGAAGTCGAATTCATTTTATTAAGAGTCAAAATGTAAATCGAAATATATTTGATGTCTGTGCATACTTACTTCATAGTTAATGGCGCTTTTGATCTGTCACAACAAAATAGTGAACGCTAACGTAAAAACTAAAAACTAAAAACTCAAAACAAAAAACTTAAAACTAAAAACTAAAAATAAAAAATGAAAAAGCAAAAAATAAAACTGAAAACAAAATGAAAGAAAAACCTAAAGAAGTAAATACATTTTAATAATAACATGTAAGAAATATAAGTGGAATAGAATGGAGCTGAGAAACAATTAATTTACAATACATACCTTAAAGCTACTTACATTACAATTATATATAGATGACATGCATATATGAATATATTATGTATATATATATATATATGAATATATTATGTATATCAACTCAGCTTAATCATGATATTACATCTAAGTTCAGTTATGTTGTGTAATTATCGAATTTTTGTTAATGTTTTGCTTCATACATTATATAATATATTGTGTACACGTATGTCTACAAATTTGTATGCATATGCATATGCATACATACATACATATATATACATACTTAATTATTAATGAAATTATTTCGCCAATTGCTTTATCCTAGTTCTTGTATTATTATTCTTTCACACCTTTTTTCATAAGTTGTAGTCTAAAGTCGGTTATGTTTATGCTTATGTTCGATTATAGTTTGTTTAGAAAATTTTTACATAGCGTTAGCAATTCTCTTTTTTAAAAAGTTAATTATTGTGAATAAAATAAAAAAATTGCAAAAATCAAATCCAACAAATATAAACACTTTCAAAAATATTGAAGAGTATACTTTTGTAGCTCATTTAGCTAATTTCTCATTATGAATTTATTCACTTAGTTACCAAAACACGTCAAAAACTAAAGCCAAATCCCCATCGATTCATCCATTCAGTTTCGGATTAGCATATCTCGGTTATAAACTTAATTTGGTTTTTCTTAATCGGTATTTTAAGCTTTTAATTATTTTAATTTGGTTTTGGTTTTGGTTTTGTTTTTTGGTAAGTACTTTTGTCCACTATTAAGGCTCTTGTCGCAGAGGTTATCAATGCGATCACATTGCGATTCAAGGACGACCTCTCAGCATCGAATTTATTCATAAGCATCCATAGAAGCTACTCGTGCAAAGTATAAATAAACTTAGTAAACTTCGATTTGCAATCTCAGTTCTGTGAAAGCAAAAAGTTTTGAGCTCAGAGCATATTTTTTGTTGCTTTCCAGCAGCTTAAATAACTCAATTCGGATTATTGATTTCTTATGCCTTTTGTTATTTTATATTACCTCTGAGTTAAAGTTAAACTTTTTGTTACACAAATAACATAAAACGCAGCGCTTCAACAAATGAAATCTAAATTGCAATAGTTTTGTTTTGAAATATGTCATAAGGTTAAATAAATTATTACGTAACTGTGATGTCTGAAGTTTTATTTACAACTGTGCAGGACACTCCTAAATTTCCTTTTCTAATAAATCGTTTTTTATCTAAAGTCACATGAGTTAATTGCTCAGTTTACAAAGTAAAAGTCGTATGTAGAATCATGTTTATGTTTGTAACTAATGTAGTTTTCTACACTTTGTATATTCAGCCTTCTAAGCATAGTAATTGAATTTGGCTCACAAATAATCCACGTGCACAAATTAAGGATAAAGAACTTACTTGACTTTCCAAACAGAATATTGGGAAATTTATGATTCTCAACACTGTTGCTTGTTGTATTACTTAAGAGCTTATAATTTAAATGTAGAACACAGAAGTCATTACTAACTCGCATTCAACATATTTTCAATTAGAATATACAGAGATTTCGATATGTTCCAGGTCCTAAAGCTACAGCTGTGACTTTTCTTTGCAAACTATGCATTATCACAGTGGAACAGATGGAACCATTTTATCAAAAATTCAGTGATCAATATAAGCAAGATGTGGTTCACTTACCAAGTGCAAGAGGACACCTAGCAGTGTTGATGTATCTGTGTCTGACTGTCTTTCCAACATTTAAGGAGTAAAAGCCCCGAAATATAATAACAATAAATGATAATGAGCAGTTAGTTGTCGCAAAGTGTAAAGAGTTAAGTAAATTAATTCGTATACCTTATATTTTATTATATTATAGGTAAAGTAAATACTTTGAACGTCTTTTAGACAGTACTTCTTATTGCTAAATAGAAAAAGGAATAATTCCGTTTTCTATTGTCCATGAAAAGAGCAACAAAATAAGTATACGTGCTAGAGCACAGCTCACTTTAATACGAATTTTCTGATTTCTGATATAGTTAGGGTCCTTGGTAATAACTATCTGAGCATATAATGATCCATAATTGAAATAGGACTCACCATAACTTAAAATAAAACTTGCTGACTGCAGCTTGAAGAATGCACTTATAAATAAATATGTTAACGAAAACAATTGACAATGATACGAAAGTTAGCTTGAACTACGAGTGTAATAGAAGGGCCTACGTATTCCTCCTGGTAAAGTATGGAAATATTTATAGCGTAAGCCACGACTCTTTCTGCATGTAATAAATAGAGAGAAAACACTTAGCAAACGATTGCTTGAAGATTACCTTGCTGCTGGATTGCTGAAGGTTGCTGGAATATTTTCTGCCAGCGAGGTTAATTTCAGTTCAAGAAGTATACGTGTTCTTCAGCAAGATGATCTATCTCTGTTTCTTTGTGTGCCTGTACGATAGATATATTATTTAGAATATATATTCTAGTTGGGGCTTAAACTAGAAAAGTCTGTGGTGCATCTATTTCTTAGAGAACTAAAGAGTTATAATAAACAAGTGTGCTCTAGTCGAGACTGTTCGACTAGGAGATACCCTGAACCCCGTAAGTAGCTGATAGTCGAATCATTCTTCGATTCTTTGATACACACACTGCAAATTACACATGCACACACACATATACACATAGACACATATACACATGTATAAGCACGCGCTCTGCGCACTGCGCAGAGTCAAACGTTCTTTGCTACAGGAACCCACGCGTCCTTCTGCCAGTTACATACATTTTCACGCAACCGAATTTCAATTTTTAATGGGTTCAGGGTATACAAAACTATAGAGTCATCTCATGCTACGCTTAATGATGAGACAGACGTACTTGAAGAAATCTTATAATCTAATTTTCGACTCAGTCAGCATTAAAGGACATCTTCCATATCTTCTGCATATCTTGTTCGAGCGCATATTGTTTTGTGTCACAATGTGTGGCTTAGTGCCTTATGTAAATAAGCTTACCAATTATCTTTGTTTTGTGTCACAATGTGTGGCATAGTGCCTTATGTTAATAAGCTTACGAATTATCTGTTATACTATGAATTAATACGATTTATGATATTTTAATGGCGAATAATATTTAATGGCTTTCGCAGTTTCCTTAATTCATTCGACTCTATGAGAGGAATCGCCAGTCGAATAAATAAATAAACCCATATGTTATGTTTATAAGGATGTTTAATATATATTTCATCTGTCATCTGTTTGTGTCGTAAGTGCAATCGTGCAAATGTCCTTACTGCAAATGGGCTTTAAGATAATAAACATAAAATTGTAAGTATCTAAGTGTCTTTATTTAAAGCTAAATTCCGGTGAGTATGAAACACTTTTTTTTTTAAATATTAAAACTATTTCATGCTAATGACTTAGTTCCTATTAATAGGAGTCACGCTAGTTACTAAGGCAAATTATTACGAGTGTCTTATTATTATCATTATTAAATCTTAATCAAAATGTTTTTTTTATCAATCTATATATAAGACAACATATATCCTTTACCGATATGTGACAGACAATTTCATACTTCTCAAAGTGTACATTGGGGTTTTCCAATGCTCGTGTTGCTGTACACCCGTCTCTTCGTCTAACCCTATAACTGTTGAAATTTGAATACACACCCTGATACGCCTACTTGGGTCGTAGTAAATTGGAAATTTATTTATCTGGTACGTCAGAGAATCTATTAGATAAAGTCTATACATTCTCATGTTGTACAGCTAAAAACTTATATATTCGATTATTGATTTACTGTGGACGTTATCTATCGATGCCTTTTACCTTTTTAAAGAAAATACTCTGTAATTTTCACAGTTTTGAACCTTAAGCCCCACAATTTGACAGTTTCATCACTGTAGACTTTTGATTATATGCCCACTCCTATTGTTGAGTATTATGCAGTCGTGTACAATGATCTTAATAGTTCAAGATGTGTGCATTTAACAGAACGGAATGACAGATTCTGTACTTAACATAGCTACGGAATTCGAGTCATTCGTACGTACATTTGATTGGAGTGCCAGAGTGACATA